TAGGTTATTATGTATAACTACAATTATTGCTGTGGGACAACAACCGTTTACTAATGAAGAATTTAAAAACGAAACAACAATATTTTTCGAAAATCAAGGAGATCTGCGAATTGTAGGAGCACATTGGGAACTTGTCACTTATGTGCCATTAGTAAATTATGATAATAGGTATAATCAGTTAGCGAATGAAATTTTAAATATGACAAGTCATTGTAAGGATTTATTATCTGAATATGAGATATGTTCAAGGTTTTCAAATATATTAAAATCAACGTTTGTAGAAATAGCTTCACAAAGGGAGCAAATGTATGAGTCCATTGGCAGGAATAATAGTACAAATGAGAGTATGAAGGAAGGAAACACTGTAGTCATTAGGAATAAAAGAGGTCTAGTAAATATAATAGGAACAGCAATGAAAACTTTATTTGGTGTATGTGATGATGACTGTACAAGAGAAAATAATGAGAATATTCAGAAAATCGAAAATAGTAATGTTAATATGTTACATATATTGAAGAATCAAACCACTGTAGTAAAATCAGCAGTACAAGGAATAGGTAGTGCCTCTATAGAAATGAATAAATTATATATTGAATCAGGTGAAAAGCAAGGTATGTTGTGCCAACAAGGCTATAGTTCCATTTTTATATTGTTGGAATCCATCATGAATCCATGCTTTTTGAGGATGTTTGCCAAATAACATGCAGTGTAAACAATATACCCTGTTTTCTGATGGAGAATATGTTAACCAGTCTCTACGTACCATTGTTCCATCACCAAGTTTTTTATGATACCAATTTTCATGAAAACTACTAAAATTGAAATTTTTAATTAGGTTCATTATTATATTAATTTAATATAATGTTTTAAAATATAAAATACTACTTTAGGAGTTGGTTATGTTATGTTATGTTTTTTTTTTTACACTCATTACTTTAAAATTTTTATGGACAAATGTAAATTTAATAGGTGATTTATAGAAATGCCAATTTGATCACTTTATAATATAATATAATTTGGTTTATTATTAATTTATATTGGTTGTCACTTGTCTTATATGCTACGTCTATGAAATAGAAATCTTATTTTATAAATCCATAATTATTTATCACACTACAATTTATAAAGTATGTATTTCAATAAATTATTTAATACATGAACATGATCTATACTCAAAATATTTTGAAAAACATTTTATAAGCCTTTTAATAAAAATTACTATAAAAACAACTAAATTAAAATATTAAAGAATTGTGTAATTATATAAATTCAAAACACAACATAAAAAGTGAATAATTAATTAACATTATACTAACTTCTTCATTTCATTTTTTGGAAATTCTCCATCAGGCATTTCATTATGATTTGGCTGATATGGTCCCCAACTCAGTATTAAATTAATCATATCTGGAGAAAATTTAATAGCTTTAAATATTGCTGGGTCATTTTTCCATTTTGAATTAACACTTAACTCAAAGACTCTATCATGAGTATTATTGAGATTTCGCACTGTAAATTAAAAAAACACATTTATATTAAGTGAAATAAATTAAAATATATTATAATAATATTATGTTATCTTAAAATTAGAATTTATAAATTAGGTAAAATTATAAAGAAAAATGAATATAATATAATTGGGTACTTATTGATCATACATCAATTGAATTTCTATTAAAAGTCGAACAACCATAGGCCTGAACAGACTGTTCGCAAGTTATGCAGCTGATATAATGTACCCCATGATATAAATTATAAATGCTCTTAAATCCCTAAAAATAGGATTGTATTATGTATTTATGAATAATATGGATATAATATTTTGGATCCAATTTCTTCTTTTATATATTCCTGGTGCCAAGCTTACTTTTTGTTGCTTTAAACTTGCATGTGTTCATATTGTCAAATTATAAACATATTATTATTACCTATGGTTATTACTTATTATTAGAAAATATTTAGTTTTTCTTATTTTTTTTTCACTATAAAGGTTTGAGTCATTGGCCCTAACAATGACCATTGACCATATTATACAAATATATAATGTTATGCTGGATTTATTTTCTAAAATTAATTTCATATTCCAAAGCAGAATATTTTTCTAAGTATTTTGATTCATAAAAATCGAATTTAGGACGAGTAGCTTATGAGTTATAACTTTATAAGTATTTAAAGTATAGTCAAGTCGGAGTAGTGGACAAATATTTTGCGGAGTAACCCCGTACCACTCCACTCCACCAATCTAAACTTCAAATACTTATAACCAGGGCTCGGAACTTTATGCATTTGCATCTTTCTCATTAAGCTGCATATTTAAAATCTGATTCGATACAAATTTGTTTCATGAACCATACAGTTGAAATACAACAATTTATGTTGCATATTTTTGCATATTTTACTAAAAATTTATATGATTATGCATATTTAAAGATTTTGAGTATATAAATGCATTTTATGGTAAAAATGTATAAGAAATCAATAACAAACAAGTTTTTGATAGTTGAATATTGTAAATTAAATAATTTAAAAATAAATAGCCGCCGCACACAGTTTTACCGATAGGTGTCACTAATGCCATCGGCGACGCTCGCCCGTATGGTTTATAGTGTTTTTAATAAGAAATAAGAATTGGCCTTTAATGACCGTAATGACCGGCCAGGTTTTAAATTTATATTGAAGTCGCTCGTTAGATAAAATAAAACAAAATACCCATATACCAATGATATTGACTTATTGTATGTTCGTGGTGTGTGTCAGTATGAGTTTGTTCGTATGTCGAAATCGAAAACGTATTCGATAACGGTGGGCTGTTACTTTAATAAATTAGTGTGTTCGTAGTTCGTATTGTTCGCTTACCGTGCTCGATTACCGCTTATGTGCCACGTAATATTCTGATTTTAATATTCATCAGACAAAAGTTAAAATGCCTAAAGAAAAAAAAAATTTAAGTAGTCGTTTAAATACTTTCGTGTCTGAGTTCGGTAAAAATGTTTTTAGTATTGACACAAGGGTATTATTTTGCAAATTCTGCGAAACGAAAGTCGATTTGGAAAGAAGATCCAGCGTAATACAGCACTTGAAAACAGAAAAACATTTGCTTTCTGTTAAACGTAATGAAAATCAAAAAGAGACCAAGTGCCAACAACTTTTAACCAATGATTTACCGTCTAAAAAATCAAAGTTCAGCCTGGATTTATGCAAAGCTATGGTCTCAGCTAATATACCACTGAATAAACTGTCAAATATAGAGTTTCGGACATTTTTGGAAGTTTATTCTGGAAAAGATATCCCCACAGAATCAGTACTTCGAAAATTCTATTTAGACGACTGCTACAACGAAATGATGGAAAAAATTAGGCAACGTGTTTTTGACCGAAAAAATTGGGTGTCACTTGATGAAACAGCAGACGCAGAAGGTCGGTATATAGCTAATGTAATAATAGGGACTTTAGAAGAGGATACTGCTGGTCCAATTTTTTTACTGAATACTGAAACCCTAGAAAAGACCAATCACTCTACGGTTAGTAAACTTTTTGACAAATCATTAAGCATTTTATGGCCTGATAAAGACTCTATTATGAGTATTATTGAGATTTCTCACTGTAAATTAAAAAAAACACATTTATATTAAGTGAAATAAATTAAAATATATTATAATAATATTATGTCATCTTAAAATTAGAATTTATAAATTAGGTAAAATTATAAAGAAAAATGAATATAATATAATTGGGTACTTATTGATCATACATCAATTGAATTTCTATTAAAAGTCGAACAACCATAGGCCTGAACAGACTGTTCGCAAGTTATGCAGCTGAAATCCTGATTTATATATATTAGTCCCTGATTTTGGATTTTTAGGATATATGGTTCTGTTTCCCCTTGACATGTTATCGTTAATGTGTCATTAATAGTTGTGTATAACCAAGTGTTTGAATATTTTAATTTATGATATATATTTTTAGTGATTATTATTACTCCTGCTTCACAATTGTTTGGTAAAACTTCTGGATTTTTAAATAATGATACTTCACATGGTTGCCTAACCAATGTATAAACCTCATGCATAAACCTGATCAGAATGCCCAATTTTTACAAATATATTTTGTAGGTGAGGATGAGAGGCAAGGTGCGCCAATTTTCCTGACGTCAAACCAGGGTTGGTCAAACAATTGCAAAGCATACTCCATGAAAAAAACAGTTATGTCAAACAATTTAAGACCACGATTAATGCGGTGCAAAACAACTGTAAAGAATTTAAAGTGGTCATCCGTGCATACAGAAAACCCACTAATGCTCATGTTGGTCGCTTTAATGCACTAACACAAAATGAAATAGCTCTGATAATTGGAAGTCAGCAATTTGAAAATAGAGACATCGTACTTCAAAGTCACGATAATAAACTACAACGTATCAGTGAAATTCATCGAGCATACGACGCTCTGCAGTATCCACTTATGTTTTGCCATGGCGAGGACGGATATTCTATTGACATACCATTGTGTAATCCCACTACGAAATTGCCTCTTGAAAAAAAAATTTTTTGCGGCATCCTTTTATGCTTACCGAATTATGATTAGGCAAGAGGAAGTTAACCATATTGTATACTTCCGCTCCCTCTTCAGTCAATTTTTGGTCGATATATACGCAAAAATTGAAACTGAAAGGTTGAATTTCATTAGGAATCATCAGAAACAGCTAAGAGCTGAGAACTATATTCATCTCAAAGATGCTGTGTTGAGGAATGATGTTAATGCAACTGATCTAGGTCAAATGGTAGTACTTCCTTCATCATTTACGGGCGGACCTAGGTATATGCATGGACGAACTCAAGATGCCATGACATATGTCCGCGTGCATGGTCGCCCTGATCTATTTATCACATTTACATGTAACCCTACTTGGAAAGACATCATAGATGCACTGTTTTCTGGACAAAAGCAAAATATCGTCATGACATTATAGCGAGAGTATTTCATATTAAAGTAAAGAAATTAATGGCACTCTTGACAAAAGGAAAATTATTTGGTGACTTACGGTGTTATATGTATTCTGTGGAGTGGCAAAAGCGAGGATTGCCTCACGTTCACATCTTACTGTGGCTACAGAATCGAATTTCATCAAACATAATTGATAATGTCATCAGTGCCGAAATACCAGACCCCGAGCAAGATCCTCTTTTATATAACATCGTCAAAAGTAACATGATTCATGGTCCCTGCGGCAGCTTAAACCCTAATGCTCCTTGCATGAAAGAAAATACATGCAGTAAAAGATACCCTAGAAAACTTTGCCGAGAAACACAGACGGGAGACGATGGATACCCAGAGTACAAGAGGAGGTCTACAAATGCCGGTGGTTTCACTGTAAGAATTAAGGGACTTGATTTAGACAACCATTGGGTTGTGCCTTACAACCCAGTCTTATTACGTACTTTCAATTGTCACATCAATGTAGAGATGTGTCATTCTGTTAAGTGTATTAAGTACATCTGTAAGTATGTAAACAAGGGTAGTGACCAAGCAGCGTTTACGATAGAAAACCAGAAGGATGAGATTACAATGTACGAAAGTGGTAGGTATATCAGCAGTGCCAAGCAGTATGGAGAATATTATCATTTTTTATTCATGAACGATATCCTACGGTTTTTCATCTAGCCGTCCACCTTGAGAATGGTCAGCGAGTATACTTCACCCCTAATAACTTGGCAGAGAAGCTCAATAATCCTACTAAGACTACGCTTTTAGCATTTTTTGAGTTATGCAAAACTGATGTTTTCGCCAAAACCCTCCTTTATTCGGAAGTGCCTTCTTACTTTGTATTTAAGAATAATAAGTTTCAAAGAAGGAAGCAGGGAAGGAATGTAGATGGCTGGCCGACCGTAAAGAAGGACGATGCATTAGGAAGAGTGTATACTATCCATCCACACAATACTGAATGCTACTATATTCGTATGCTTCTTCATGAAATTAGAGGACCAACATCTTTTTCAGACCTAAAGACTGTTAATGGTATCCTCCATAATACATTTCAATCTGCCTGTAATGTGTTAGATTTACTTGAAGATGATAATCACTGGAACAATACGTTAAATGAAGCTTCTTTGAGTGATTCTCCTTCCAAGCTGCGCGAACTATTTACAGTAATGTTAGTATTTTGTCAACTATCGGATACCTTAACTCTTTGGGATACACATAAAAACAATCTTTCAGAGGATATTATCCGACAAATGGATGCTGACCAAAAAGATGAGGCTCACAACAAATGTTTGATACAAATTGAAGATGCAGTGCTTGCTGTAGGAGGTCAGAGTATATCAAATTATGGGCTACCTCAGCCAATAAGGACAGAAAATAACTTTGAAAACATAGTCTATCAGAGAGAGATAAACTACGACCTGAATACCTTAACAAAGGTAATAGTGAGCAACGAGGCCTTACTGACGAACGAGCAATACAATGTCTATAGTCGGATAATGCACAGCATTAAATCTGATACTGGAAAAATTTTTTTTTTAAATGCTCCTGCAGGAACAGGTAAAACTTTCCTTATAAACTTGCTTTTGACAAAAGTAAGGAGCAATCGTAGTATTGCTTTGGCTGTTGCATCTTCTGGCATTGCTGCTACGCTTTTGGAGGGGGGAAGGACGGCCCACTCAGCATTCAAACTTCCTCTCGATCTCATTAACACAGAAACGCCAATGTGTAATATACCAAAACAAAGTAATATAGCCAAAGTTCTTCGCAATTGTAAGTTTGTTGTTTGGGATGAAAGCACTATGGCGCATAAAAGAGGTTTTGAGGCACTTGATAGATCTCTTAAAGATATAAGAAATAAAAATGAAGTGATGGGAGGAGCAATTGTTCTTTTAACTGGAGACTTTAGGCAAACTCTACCAGTTATACCAAGAGGAAGTCGAGCAGATGAAGATAAAGCATGCATAAAAGCTTCTTATTTATGGCCGTTAATAGAACAACTTTCTCTCAAAAAGAATATGAGGGTCCACCTGGGAGGTGATGTCACAGCTGGAAAATTCTCTGAACTTCTACTCAAAATAGGAAATGGAGATTTTCCCGAGTTAGCTGGAAAGTTGGTTATCACAAAGGATTTAGGTTTAGTAGTGACAACACTACAAGAACTTATAGTTCAAATTTATCCTGATATTACCGATATAAAAAACAAATCGATGGATTGGTTATGTGAGCGCGCTATTTTGACCCCTAAAAATGACAGGGCAGGTGTGATTAATGAAATTCTTCTTAAATCATTTAAGGGAACAGAAATGGAGTATAAGTCTATAGACATGGTACTGAAGACAGATGAAGCAGTTCACTATCCTGTGGAGTTCCTCAACGCACTTAATCCCCCAGGCTTTCCAGCACATAAGTTAGTCCTTAAAGTAGGAGCTCCAATTATGCTGTTGCGAAATCTTCACCCACCCAAACTCAACGTTTATACCACGTATACCACTTTTATCATCAAACTATCCATTCGAATTTAAAAGACTGCAGTTTCCTATCAAGGTATCTTTTGCAATGACTATAAATAAGTCGCAAGGGCAGTCGTTGAAGATAGCACGGATTGACTTGAGTGATGACTGCTTTACACATGGGCAATTTTATGTGGCATGCTCCAGAGTTAGTTCCCCTACAAGCTTAGTCATTCTTGCCCCAAACGGAAGAACAACCAATGTAGTTTATAAGGAGGTGCTATAATAATAATTAAACCTAATAATAATAATACTATAATAATAATAATAAAAAATAATAACACTATTCACATCCTATAAATAAATGTTATCAATGAATCTAATAGTGCTATAACAATTAACACACACACAGAAACAATTAAATTGTGAATTCCACGTAATATCAGTACCATCAATACAATTAAATTAAACACTAACACACGGCCTATGAAAATGCCAAAAGGGAAATTAACATATGGGCAACGCCGTGTCGGGTAAGCGAGTAATATTATATTTCAAAGCTTTAATAAATACTTCACCAAACAAAACTTTTTGAAAACGTATTAATTATTCTCATTGAGTATAATAAAAATAAAAATAATCATTAAGTTCTTACCTATGTGTGACTTTTCCACAGGTTCTTGCTGTGTTTCCACAATAGATACTTCATTCAATTGTTTATCTGATATTAAATTTTAAAATAATTTATGTTTTTTTTTCAATTATCAACCAATAATTTTCAAATATCTAAAATCTACCTATATGGAACTGTTCCACAATTTCTTGCTGTGTTCCCACAATAGCTACTTCATTTAATAGTTTATCTACTATAACATTTAAAAAACATTAATGATATTTTCAATAATTAAACAATTATTCTCAAATATCTAAAATCTAATTATATGTAACTTTTCCACAGGTTCTTGCTGTGTTCCCACTATAGATACTTCATTCAATTGCTTATCTGCTATTACATTTTGAAAAAATTAATGATTTTTTGCAATAAATAATAATTATATTATTACCTTTATTTGTAACAGTTTCCAGTTCTATATTAATTATAGAAGGCTCTCTGAATTCATGGTTGACTAATTTTTTTTTTTTGTGTGTCAATGTGCGTTGTGTATTATAAATTAAAAGTAATAATTAATATTTAATAGTTACCTGTGCTTCTAACTGAAAGTTCTGTTGTCGTGGTTTTAAAGAAAGTAGAAATAAAAGAATAATTCTTGTTACTTGCAAACTTGGAACAAGTAGGTGTTAACTTCATTTTTTTATTCTTACATTTTTCCAAAAGCCTGGACCAGTTAGTGCCATTTAGTTTTTCTTTTTTTCTACCACACACAGTACAAATAATTTTAGAGTTGGCAGAATTCGTAATTTAAACAAGTATTTATGAAATTTAAGGCATTAAAATGAACACATAACACGGTAATATATTACTATGATAACATGTGGCCAACAACAACTAGTCACTACTTCTCTACTGTGTAGGCAAATTGTAGTTATGAATAGTTCTAATAATTATTATTAATTATAGATTATTGACAACATGATATTTTTATTTTTTCAATTTAACATTGTCACTTATCAGTATTCTAAAATATAGATAAAAATATCTCAATATAATAATATTTTCCCAATTCGCATATGTATACATTTAAAAATAGCATGATACCCCACACTGTCAACATACTATATATAGTCACTAGTCACTACTCAATGAAGCTCCTAGTACCTAGCGCGTATATTGCGCATGTGCGTAGTGCGTACTGCATGTCTGCATCAGTGATTCAGTACAGTGATTAGTGGCGTACATAATATTGCGTATTTGCGTGCATACCTACTACCTAGTATGCCAATGAAATATGTATAATATTATTCCATCTATATTTATTATTTCCTTAATATTTTCTTTCGTTATTCGTATACTATATACCACACCCACCACCCCTAAAAATTTGGTCTGGTCATGACCAGACTTGAACCCCTAGTTCGGCGCCACTGACTGAAAGTATAGTTGTAGGTTTGATATTCTTGTACTGGTACATTTGATGTAGTATTATCATATGATACTTTATCATTACCGACATTACCTAATGATTCTTGAGCTTCTTGGTTGTCGATGTATGTATTTAAAGTTGTTAACACAAACTGTTTAAACTGGCGCTGGTTTTTTCCATTTAATTTTTTGAAATCGGGCAAAAGACTTTAAAAAAATAATAAATCAACATCTTCTACAGCTGACTTATTAGTTTTTGAACGTACAAATTCAATCATTGGCCCTGCAACTTGTTCTGCAGCCGAATTTTTAATTTGAGTTTTTTTTGGTTTTTTAAATACAGGTTCAGAAGATACTCTTGTCAGCTCTTGTCTGTCATTTACACACAGGTTCAGAAGATACTCTTGTCAGCTCTTGTCTGTCATTTACACACAGGTTCAGAAGATACTCTTGTCAGCTCTTGTCTGTCATTTACACATGTAGTACCTTCATTTTCAATTTCATTAATTACGCTCTCACTGAGATTTGGATTTTCTGCACTTTTTTCATTATCAGTTGCCTCACTTTCATCATCTGATGATTCTAGATTACTTAACGTTTGCTTGTGCTGCAACATGAAACTTGACAAAAATGACATTTCATTGAATAAATACCACTTTTTTTTTCTCGAAGCAGCAGAACCAGATATTTTTGATTTTTCTTCAAGTAATGCTCTTGCAAAATTATTACGAAGACACGCCCACTTACTTTTACACTCTGCCACTAGAAAATGTATGTTTAATTAATTATTGTTTTATATGCATTTAAAGTTTTGACAGACTGCACCAAAATGGCAAAATCTCAAAAAACTGTTAATGTATAGATATTTTAGACTGTCTGATGAATGTATTGGTTTAAAAAAAAATAGCGGGTAAGTGGATGTCGCTCTGCTGTACAGTAGGTTACAAGTGGATCACTGTATAATGGATAGAATTAAATTTGAATTCAATGATACAATATCATTGTATAAGAAAAACGATTCTGAGTGGAGACGGTATGTCAGTCTTGGTTTAAGACATATTAATACCGATATATCTGAGTCAAAATTCGAATTTTAAATGCTTATAAAAAAAAATTGTGCCCATGTATTTTAAATATTTTACAATTGCTATTGTAAAAATATATCAGGAGCCTTGTATTAAATTTTCAAGCTTTTTCGCCCCTACAAATAAAATTGTAATGGTATTTATATAAAAAAACTAAGAAAATTGAAAATTGACAATGTCCGTAAACATCTCAAAAAGAGTCAAATTATTTTCAAAATGTTATCGTGTTTAGAAATGCTAATATCAACATTCAGTGAAATTTTCAAGTATCTACAGCCATTCGTTTTTTAATTACAACAAAAACAGAAAATCGTTACATGAGAAATCGAGTGAATATCAAATGTTGTAAAAATATGAATTTCAAACGCTCATAAAAATTTAACTTGACTTTCTTCTAAAATTTTTTTTTTTTATAAAGGTAGACAAACTTATAAGGAATCTTGTATTAAATTTTAAAATCTTAGATTTAAAAACAAAATTTTTTATGAATTTCTAACTTAAAATAATTTCCAAATTTTCGTCGTTTTTACGTATTTTGTCAATATTTGAACTTTAAATGCTTATAAAAAAAAACTGTGAATAAGGATTTTTAATTTTTTTCATCTGCCTTTAAAACAAAATACTAGGAGCCTTGTATTAAATTGTCAAGTTTTTTTAACTAACAAATAAAATTTTATTGATATTTATAGAAAAAAAATTTAAAAAATTGAAAACTGACAATGTCCGTAAACAGTTCAAAAAGAGTCAAATTATTTTCAAAATTTTACCGTGTATAGAAAATGCAAATCTAAACAGCCTGTGAAAATGTCATATACCTACGGCCATTTGTTTTAGAGTTACACCGAAAACCAAAATCGATTTTGCGTAAAAATTCACGTTTTTCCTTAATTTTTCTTTTGTTTTTCACGTCGCTTTTGAAAACAACTGGGAAATTTTTACTTTTGACCCCCCAAAGTACCAACTAGATTCACTTTCCAATCAGAAAAGTTACTGTTGAAGAAAATCGAAGCAGTTTTACTGTCCTAAAAGGTGATGACAGACACAAAAAAAAATAAAAATAAAAACACACATCATAGTAAAATCAATATATTCATCCTTCCACTCAGAATCTAAAATTTTAATATACAATTTTAATAAAAAATCTAACTTTTTTATTTTATTAAGATTTTTTATTCATCGTTAGATAAAATAAAAAAAATTAATTATACTATACATAGATGATGCCAATAAACATTTGGTAAACATTTCAAGTAAGAAAGTATTTAAAATTTAAAATCGAAGCATTATTTTTATTAGCAATCGTGTACATATACATATAAAAGACAAACATCTCTGTAAAATGAAAATATTCATCACTTCGTTCAGAATTTAAAAATGACGTAAAAAATAAAATATGTATTTACAGCTAAAAACGCCCAAAAATGTGAAATAAAATTAGTACGATAAAATATATAATTATTTTTCAGCTATTTAGCTTCTGGAGGACACTTTAAACGCTTGCATTATCATTTTCGTCTTGGCGCTTCAACTATTGGAAAAATTATAAGTGACGTATATTGTGCCATATGTGATATTTTATGTCCTACTTATAAGCCACCACCTACAACTGAACATTGGATAAAAACGGCAAAAGCTTTTGAAGAACTGTGGAACTTTCCTAATTGTCTTGGCGCGATTGATGGAAAACATATATCAATACAATGCCCACCTAATGCCGGTTCAGAATATTATAATTATAAGGGGTTTCATTCTATTGTACTTCAAGCTGTCGTTGATGCTAATACTAAATTTATAGCTGTAGATATCGATGATTATGGACGAAATAGTGATAGTGGTATTTATAAAAATGGATAATTAGACTATATAGATTGGAAGCTTCTGAAGTAGGATAATTTAATTTACATTTTTCATATTCAAAAAGATTAGTAAAATTATATTCATTTAAAAATTTGTTAGAAATTAATTTATACTGACATATCTTACAGTTTTTTAAAAGTGGTTTTATCTTTTTTATGATCCAACCTGTAACATATGATCTGATGTTATTTTGTATGTTTGAATTTACTGGTTGATGTATATTAAAATAGGATTCAATAATTTGTGTTTGCTCTGTTTCTAGATTTTCTTCAACATCCTCAAAATCATTTAATAATACCAATTTTCTTAAACTATCTAAAATTCCTTCAGAATTCTTTGTTTCGCAATTCGCTCCAACAGAATGTTTTGTTGTTAAATTACTTATTAAAAGTGATTTAAAAGATGATATAAATCCCCAACAAATAGGATTTATATTTCTTAAACCATGACTCCTAATTGAACAAAAAAAATTTTCAATTGGGTCCTGGTTAAGATTTCTTAGAACTAAGAAGTCAAACCCATTCGATAATAATTTTTTTGATAAATACATTATACCTTCTAATGTTTCTATCCAACTTTTAATAGAAACAACTTTATTTTGTCTGCAGTCAAATTTCATACTTTTCAAAATTGTAAGTGCTTCTTTCCAAAAATCCCAATGGCATGATGTTTTTGTCACTGCACTTCTTAACTCTTTTCCAATTGTTGGAAGAGCCATACATCCATTTACGCTATCAAACAGTTTGTCCATAAAAAGACAAAATTTAGCAGTATCTACAGCAGATGGATCAAGTTGTTTTACTGCTGAGTGTGCTATTACAAAAATTAATAAAATTAAAAACTATTTATTTTTACAGATATATTGAATTCTTTAAAAAAATTTAGCTTACCTGACCATGTAGCAAGAAGTTTCATTATGGAACCAACTCGCTGACTAAAAACTTGTGCTGCATGTAAAACTTTCATTTTCTTCATTTTTTCAGCTTAAATATGAGCGTCTGTTAGCTTTGGGTTGATACGATCACCGATATTTGACTGTTTTGTCCAATTCATATAGCTGAGTAAGATGTTCCCATTTTGCTACATGTTGTATTCCACTATCAGAAAATATTAAATTTTTGGTTATTAAGTTGTTACGTATACACTTTAATAGATGCGGCGGATCAAATAGTGGTACAATTTCTTGGTTGCCTATTTCAAAACCAAAAGTTTTCTTATCTTTGCCGAGTCGTGAATACATTTCTTTTGTTTCCATTTTTAATTTATTAATAGCTGCCACATTAGTAGATGCTTGATCACATATTAGTGCAGCCACCACAAGTCCAGTTGATTGCACTGCTTGGATGACTTCTTTTATAGCAACTACAAGATCTGGTGTTTTCATAGAGCTATTCGTAAACATAAAAGCAACTGGCTTTTTGAATTTCCTTCGAATTCCTCTGACCATAAATGTCAACGCTTTATCAGCAAATAATGGTTTTGTTTTATTATTACCAAGATCTTCAAAACCTATCACCCTATCTAGACGTGGCACATATTGTAGTCCTGCAGATAACGATATTTCATCAAAAATGACCGTACAATATTTGTCTAGTGGATTTTTTATTTTATTGACAGTTTTTATTAGGTGTTGAAATATTTTTTTGTTTATTCCGGCTTCAAATGGGATTTTTTGTAATATACTCATCAACGAACTCTTACATGGTAAAGCAAATAATTTTTGGAGTAACCTATAAGCTTTTCCACTTTGCTTAAATAATGAAAGAGCAAATATTTTGTCACCGAGTGTGAATCGTCTTCCCTGTGGCTTTTTTGATTGTGATCTTATTTGTGATTCAATGAATGTAGTAGTGACATGATTAAGTTTACTCAAACATTCTTTATGATCATTCATATACTTTTCAGCTACTTGCAAACGTGTTTTGAATGCACTATACCGATAGTTAAGTAAAACGTTTTTCTTCTTGGCTTCTTTAAGGGCATCATAAATACGTCCCTTCCTGGGAGTCAAATCCATCCTACGTCGTACATTTATATTTTTCAATATGCCTAAAGTAGATGGCTTTTTCTTTCCTGTTAAGAAATTTAATTTAACTTAATTAGATAAATGTTTTCAAAAGAAAAACAAATGTGTTCTATAATTATCTTTACTTGTGACTTTAGACATAGGTGTAGAATGCTGAATCATACTTTCAGACTTGTCTAAGCACATTACACCGTCAATGCCATCTAAAACACAAGAACAATTGACTTCTGTATACTAAAAAACTAATATTATGTTAGGTACCTATAGATAATAATATAAGATAATATGTTCATCACAATTGAAATGAAAATCAAAATATAATATACGAACCTAATATATTTGTAGAAACCTGAAACTAAGATATTTCTCGGAACTGTTTCACTTGTAGATGGTAGCATTGTGTTGAGCACTATAAAAACAATAAATTAATATACATTGTAAACTAATCAAATTTTATTCAGAAATAGAAATTTTATAATTATCTTTACTTGTGACTTCAGATGTAGATGTAGAATGCTGAGTCATACTTTCACACTTGTCTGAACACATTTCATCAACTCCTGTACCTTCAGATGTAGATGTAGAATACTGAATCGTGCTTTCAGTCTTGTCTAAACACATAACATCATCAATTCCATCTAAACCACAAACAATTGAGTTATAATAAATAATTAATATTTAACATAGGTATTAAAAACACAATTACATTTTATATTCATAACAATTTAAATCAATAAAAAAATATAAAATACAAATGTGAAATTAATATACCTGTCTGTGATGGAATTCTTTCTTCATAATTTCATTGGTAAATAATTATCAGAAAGCTCAATTAATGTTAAAATTTTAAATTAAACACAAGAAGCAAATTGTACACAAATAATAGATTCAACCGTTAACAAACCATAACTTTAACATTTAATACCTATACAAAAAATACGATTTTAAATTAAACACAAATTATGGATTCAACTGTTAACAAACCATAACTTTAACATTTAATACCTATACAAAAAATACAATTTTAAATTAAACACAAGCAGCAAATTTTACACAAAAAATAGATTCAACTAATAATTAATAATAATTCAAATAATACATTGACATTTAATACTACAATATTGTAATTGATTTAGAAAAAGTATATTCACCACTGTTGTATTATACATCATACACATAAAACATGCTCACAAATCACAAATTATGTTTCATTGTATAAATACAAACCAGCTGGCAAGCATAATATTGGAACAGCATTTCGGTTTAGTTTTTTAGTTCCAGGACTTGTACAACTTTCATCAAAATGCTTTGAACATATCACAAATGATCTACGCACTTGTTGTACACTTAGTGATTTTAATTTTGAATTTCCTGTACTCTGAACCCATTTTGAAAACAAAGCTTCATTGTTGTATGGAAATAAATGACGTATTGTAGATTTGTCTTAATATGTTGTATCACAACCAACAACAACACAATTTTTGGATGGCATCTGGAATGAGTGAAATACATCATAAAGAAATAATATAATTATTAATTACCATTTAAATAAAAGTAGGTAGGTACTCACATCAATAACTATTGGAGTTGTTACTTAATATTATATAAAGAGTAAAGACCGATAAAAGTATAGTAGAAACTATTAACAGTACTAACTAGTAATCCTTTATCGTTTTCAACGTTTTATTATGAATTATAAAATTAAATAAATTAATAATTTTTCATTTTAAACAATGCACAAATTTAGCATAGTAAAATAAAATATAAATGTTCCAATGTGGTTTTTTGCTATACCAACTTATGGTAACTTGTATAATGTATACATATAATTACAGTTGGCATTCTGATTTCGTAATATTCTTATCAGGCTAATGCAGCTAGTTGCTATAAAGTTGTACCCCCATGTCTACGACTAACTGGGCGGCCGTGACCAAGGAGCCCTCTGTGCAACGACCAGGGTAGGAATTGCTGGATAAGTAGATTCCAGCTCGAGCGTCCGTTCCCCGTAGTCACGTACACCAGTATACATATCATATTACTCTAATAAAACTATATACTATCCTCCAATATAACATACCCCCAGGGCCAAATTGGAGCAGTCCCTGCGACTTAACTTATCATTAAATATATATGTATATTGTATATAATATGTAGATTAACATTCAGTTTCTGCTATTTCTGGCTTAAAAACATAGATTTTTTGGTGTCCCGTCATTTCGACGCGGCAATCTTGACGCACGTCAAATGGACGCGGCCATTTCGACGAACGACAATTGGACGCATACGTCATTTCGACGCATGCAATTTGAACGCCACCACTTTTAGGCGCAAGTCAATTTTGACGCAAAACAAAAATATAATTTTTTATTTATTATAATATTAAGTAAAATAAAATAAAATAATACGAAGTTGGTTTTTTTACTATAATATTATTATATATAGTATTTTTATAAATAAAATATTAATAACATACATAGGTATTAGCCAATTTCAACGTAAAAACCTGGTATCTGTATATCTGTAATCTGCATCCCGGACGAAAGGACTTTTTGACCGATTACCCTGTAATTTTTATATTGTAGTTTGTTAATCTTTATGGTCACATAAATGGTACACATTTTATCATTATCTAAATATTACGGTTTTCCGTTCAATTATACCTGTACATTAATACAAGTTTGCGTTAGTGTGCTTTATATCGCGCAGTGAGTCGTACGCTTTTAAAAATTATTAACTAACTATACCTAAATCTGTTAGTGTGCTTTAAATATTTTAACTTGTAAATTAAAAAAAAAATTATAACATGCCATTGGAGTTTGTAAAAAGTCAACGGGGAAAAGATCTCCTTGTTCATGGTGGATTTATTTATAAAAAAGATAGAGAAGGTAAAGAAAAAATGATATGGAGATGCAACGAAATTAAAAATTGTCCAGGACGAGCGCATACAATGCAAGGTATACCTATATATTATTTCTTTATGTATTTATTTTTATTTTTCATATTTTGATGATGTCAGACACAAAATTATTATTAATAATTGATTATTAATATAACTTACTCGAATAGTTATGGTTTTTTTTATAAGAACCTACATATTGTAAATTATTAGTGACCATTTTTTTAACACTCAATTGTACTTGTAGGAGATATAATAAAATCCATAGATCATAATCATGTACCAGACGTTGCAAAAATTGAAGCTAAGAAAACTATAAATCTAATTAAGGAATATGCAACAACAACAGTAACAACTACGAGAGCTATACTGGGAGAAACGTCAGCACAGGTACTGCATTGGTAGTAAGCTAACCTTACATGGTACTGCTGTGTGTATTAGTTTTATACATATTTATATTTAATATTGTTTTAGTTACCATGTGCAGTGGTAGGACAGCTACCGAATATTAAATGCTTGAAGAAAACAATACAGCGGTCTAGAAAAATGGTGGAAGCCAGTCCTGCAAACCCTCAATCATACAATTTTGAAATTCCAAATAAATTCCAAATTACGTTAGACAGTGAACAATTTTTATTATTTGACAGTGGCGATAATGGTAATTATGACGATCGGATTCTATTATTTTCAACAGAAAAAAGTTTAAACGTATTAAGAAATTCGGATCATTGGTTTTCGGATGGAACGTTTTCATCTTGTCCAAATTTATTTGGTCAATTATATACGATTCATGCAGTTTACTCTGGTGAAATAATACCGTTAGTGTATGTTTTGTTGCCCGATAAAAAAGAAGTAACGTATAATAAAATGTTTCAAGCATTAAAATCCCTTAAGTTTGATTTATGTCCGAAATCATTTACAACAGATTTTGAAAAAGCAGCAATGAACTCTATCAAAATTGAATTTCCAAGTACAGAAATACATGGCTGTTTTTTTCATTTTAGTCAAGCAGTTTGGCGAAAAATTCAAAACTACGGATTGACAACAAAATATATAGAAGATGTAAATTTTGCATTACAAGTTCGAAAATTAATAGCGCTTGCTTTTATACCTATTGACAAAGTAGTTAATTATTTTGAAGTTTTGTTGGAGAGCGATTTTTATATGGAAAATGAAAATATGTTAACTCCATTAATCACCTATTTCGAAACTACGTGGATCGGAATTTTGGACAGGAGGGGTCGACGTCGAAAACCACAATATCCTATCGAAATATGGAACTGTTCAGAGCGTCTTGAATCTGATCTGCCGAGAACCAATAATAGTATTGAGGGCTGGCATAATGCATTTTCGGCATTAATAAATTGTAAAAAACCAGTCATATGGAAGTTTATAAGTGCATTGCAAAGAGATGAAAGTTTGACAAAGGTAATAAAAGAACAATTAATTGCTGGGTATGCACCAACTAAAAAAAAGAAGTACAAAGACTCATCCAAAAGATTAATTCAAATATGTACAAATGCAAGTGACTTTACAATCGACGAAGTGCTTCAAGGGATTGCGCATAATTTAAAATTTTATAAATAGTAAATTTAAAATTATATGTTTTTTTACTTTTAATTGTATTTTTATTTATATTAATTTCTTATTATATATATTTCTAATTAAATAGAATAAATAAAAATAATTTACTAAATTATATTTTTGTTTTGCGTCAAAATTGACTTGCGCCTAAAAGTGGTGGCGTTCAAATTGCATGCGTCGAAAGGACGTATGCGTCCAGTTGTCGTTCGTCCAAATGGCCGCGTCCATTTGACGTGCGTCAAGATTGCCGCGTCGAAATGACGCATATTCACTAGAAGAAGAGGGGAATTCCAAGGGCTCCTAGAACTTTCAATTATGTCGTTATCTTCTAACTTTTTAATTTGTGTGTGTATTTCTTCCTGCTGTGAGTGTGGAAGCCTATATGGTCTACAATATATAGGAGGCTGGTCTTGTTTAAGTTTTATTTTGTGTGTGCCCGCATTAGTGAAGGTTAACACAATATCTCCCTCTATATGAAACACACTATTATATTTTTCACATAAATCATAGATAGAATGCCTCTCTTCATTATTCATGTGTTCGGTTTTTAGCACCTGCTTCAATCTCGTCATTCGGTCAGTAGTGTTATTGCTTGTTTCGACAATGAATATTTTGTATTCACTATCGTATAATATTTTATTCAAATCTTTTTCGTTTATATTTTTTATTTCCTCGCCTATATTTAATATGCTAACTATTGCCTTTCCGTGATTTACAGTAGATTCTGTATTACTTCAAAACACATTTTCCGTAATTTCTTGTTTATGAATGTATATGTTTTTACCTTCGATTACTGGGTCTAGCACTTTTATTTGTACTACTGTTTCAGATCGCGGGTGTAATAAAAGATTTATGGAACTAGTTTCTACGTGAGTAGGGGCGTGTAAATCTGTTTCAGCGTTTTGAATTATTATCTTATTATTCGAAATATCTACTATCGCTTTGTTTTTTAATAGAAATTCGTGACCTAATATGCCGTCTCTTGGTATTGGGAATTGTGTTCCTACTATGTTAAATTCTGTATCTATAATATTATTATTTAATTCTATGGGTATTTTTATTTTTCCTATTGTTTGAATGGGTTCCTTATGTATACCACGTAATTTAATTTTCTGTGTTTCATTTACTTTTAGTTCTCCGCGTAAACAATTTATTTTAAGTATATTAACTTGGCTACCCGTATCTATTAGTAGGCTTAATTCATTTGTTTTGCTGGCGGCTGATTTACATGTTATATGATCATTATTTATTACTGGGTCGATGTGGAAACATCGTGCATCCCCTCTGCGATTATCTGGTTTATCGAACGGGTACCGCGTTCCTCGTTCGATACGTTCGCGTTTCCCGATTATCATTTCTACTTTCATCCCTACGCTTTTTATAGCAATTATGCATACTATGACCTATCTTATTGCAATATGCACATTGCACACATTATTGCTTGTGAAGAATTATAATTTGTGGGTACTGGGTGGCCTAGTGAAATTATTTCCATTAGGTGGATGGTTTTTATTACGATTATTTGAATTATTTTGTCTTACGTTATTTCTACATTGCGAGGCATAATGATTACCATTACAATGATAGCATTTTATAACCGGTCTGTTAACGTTTTTTGGTTGTGAATAATTATTTGGTCGCGGACTATTTGTCCTTGTAAAATTATTAGAGTTATTACTATTGTAATTTCTTGTGCTATCGGTTCGCTGATAATTAGTATTATTATTATTGCGTGGGGAATAATTATAATTTCTATCATGTGAATTATCATTTCTATACTTAAAATTTTCCCTCTCGGAATTATATTCAGCTTCCTCGGCTTTGGGTAACTGTTTTGCTATTTCAAGAGTTTTTGGACATTGTGATTTTACTATTGTTCTAATCGGATTTATTAGGCCCTTAATAAAAATTGCCAACGTTTGTTCTTTTAATGTTTCGTGTATTATTCTCGTTTCTCAATCTATTTTATTAAGTGTACTAGCGGTACATAATTTATAATATAGTTTTTCTACTCTATGGCAATACTCATTTATGTCCTCACCATTGAGCATTTTAATTGAATTTAGTTGTATTTGTAAGCTAGATGCAGTTGTTAGACCCTCAAACGCGTCTGTTAAATAACTTTTAATGAATGTCCACTTGGTCACATTTTTATATCGTATCATTTCTAACGCTCTACCAGTTAATCTGGTGGTAATATATTTTACTAACGTTGGTGCATATTTTTCTTCGACTAGACTCACTGCCATGTCACATGCATTCATAAATGGATATATATGTCATCCTCGCATATGCATAAAGGTATTAATTTAAACGCGTCCTCTAGTTTTATGGTAACCATTTTTTTATTTCGTACTTTTTTATCGAACAATAACTCCGTGTGTTCAAAACTATCAGTGACCTTACTACGTGTAGTTCTACCTGACTTATTATATAAGCTACTACTTCTCGTTAGAATAGGTTTCTCTTTTTTAGTTTTTACTTTAGTTTTATCTTGACTGTCGAAATTTATTAATCTATGTGTAACGTTTAATATTTCCTTTTCAAGATTAGATGTATCTTTTTCTGTACTGTCCATAAAATGCCTTTAATATTCATTCAATACACCCTTCATTACTTCAATTAATAATTCTCAATAATAAACCTCATAATAATAATCTCATAATAACAATAACTCTCAATAGTTAAATCTCAATAATAATCAAAATATTATTCTTCAACATTAATAACCTCAATAGGCTTCAATAATAATCTCAATAGTTTCAATAATAATCTCAATGACTTCAATAATAATCTTCAATAACTTCAATAATAATAATCTCAATAACTTCAATAATAATCTTAAATAACTTCAATAATAATCTCAATAACTTCAATAACGACAATAATAATCTTCAATATAATAATCTCAATAATTTCAATAACTTCAATAATAATAATCTCAATAATAATCTCAATAACTTCAATGGGTTTGAATAATTGACTGAATGGGCTTTTATATAGGTTCTACTCTAACACCTACACTACTATTTATACTTGATTACCTTAAATAAATTCCATACGCCTCTATAGTACATACGTCTATGTAACAATATTTAATAAATTATTCACTTACAATAGAGTGGTATTTGCTGATGATGCCATGTTCCTTTTGAAATTACTGCACTTGTTTTGCTTGGAACCTTCCTTCGGAGTTGCTGATGATGAAGAGTGGCCAATTCCTCTTGTCAACGATGGACCTTTGATGGTTTTGCCTCCTCGAAATATCCTACCGACTGCGCCAGAAATGTTGTGTGCGTAATCTCAAAGGCTCCAAAAGCCGTAAGCTTTAGAGGCAAA